CCCCAAAACCCCAAAACCCCAAAACCCCAAAACCCCAAAACCCCAAAACCCCTTACAATTTTAGAATAATTGAAAATAATTAAAATGGGCTCTTGTTGCAGTGACGGCCGTGTTCAGAGGTACGAAGCCAAGTTTGATGTCAAGAAAACAGCTGTAAGTGGGAGTACTATAAATTTTTGCATGAATTCTAAATCTGCAAACATCTTCCAAATATATCTAATTCCTTTTAGAATAGAATATCCAAGAAAGGAGAAGTTAGCCAATTTTCCCAGAAGTTTCAAGGACCAGGGGTTGAAGGATACATCAACAATGATCAAAGATTAGAGGAGTATATGTATTTTAAGAGTTTGGCTAGAAAGGATCCTACTGAATTTCCTCATCAGATTGTTCAATGTATGTTTTTCAAATTCATTTCTAGCAAATATTACTCCAAAAGGACATAATAAGAAAAAGAAGCCAAAGAGAGCATCATCTAGCTCTTCAAATTCTTCAAAGAAGTCAAAACCCTCGCGTTCTTCCAGCTCTTCAAGCTCTGACGGCAAAAAGAAAAAGAAAAGAGGTGAAGCAGTTGACCAAATGGAACGTGATTTTAAACCAATCCTACATGACTTAAGCAACTCTAGCTCAGAACTCTCTGTGGAATACAAACCAGTCCGAGAGAAAGGTAGGTGATAAAACAGAGTTTTATTGATTAATTCTAGCCAAAAGAGTTTCCTTTGCCGATGAGCCTAAGTGGAATGAGTCTCAGAACCCAAAAGGCGCCAATCCTGATCACGAAGAAAGAAATGAGGCCAGAAAGAAAAGAAAGAACATCAATAAAGAATTCAAAAATCTCCAAGTGCCCAAAGAGGTTGAGATAATAGACCTGAACAGGGACGGAGGCATGACAAGTTCTAAACCAAATCTCAGACCAAGAAGAGATGGAGAAGAAAGAGTCGAGATGAAAAAGAAGAAACCTAAGAAAGATAATAAAGATAAATTAGAATCCAAACAAAAGAAGGATAACAAAGTGATTCTTAGAAAAGAGTCTGATATAGCCCAAGGAGATATACTGAGGACTAAAGAGCAAGGCCAGTTTGATTCGAGAATTTTGTCTCCGTTTAGAATGGGAAATATGCCAATTGAGGACACATCTACTGCTCCTCGTAATAACAATATGGATAACTCTAGTATGTTGCCTTCGAGAGTAACGTTTATCCCATATTAATTTTTATTCAATCCAGAATCCTGATTTTGGGGTTTTGGGGTTTTGGGGTTTTGGGGTTTTGGGGTTTTGGGG